GGAAGAAGAAGAAGAAGAAGAAGAAGAAGAAGAAGAAGAAGAAGAAGAAGAAGAAGAAGAAGAAGAAGAAGAAGAAGAAGAAAAGAAAAAGGCCTCTAAGTATTGCTAAATGTTCCTTAGGGCAAGAATCACACCTGGTTGAGAACTCCCTCTTAAAGTAAATCCCTAAAGTGTGTGTGCATGCTGTGAATTGGACCCACAGCCTCACACATAGCAAACGTGTTCTACATTCTTTGCAATAAAAACATAGAAACTTAACAGACTTCTCCAGTTTGATCAATGAATTTGGGCCAGGGTGATAGCTTGGCGGTGTAAGCACCTGCTCAGAGCACAAGGACCTGGGTTCGATCCCCAGTACCGTATGCCTTGCAGCCCCCACGCTCAACCAGCCACCAAAACTGGTGGCACATGCTTGTAATCCCAGAGCTGGAAGGCTGAGACAGGAGGATCACTACGAGTCCACGCTGTGCAGCAAGAGGAGGGTCAGAGCTGAGCCTGCTTGCATATGCTGGGTAAACCCAGCCCTTGGGAGGCTGAGCCCGGTGAGGCAGGAGTTCAAGGCCTGCCTGGACCATGGAGCAAGCCTCACCTCAAATTATAACAGTAACAAAACCCAAATCCGAAGCCAGCCAACACACAGCTTAGCCAAGGTGGCAGACACCATGCCCCTTCGCTGTGGCTTCAGCACAGTGCCTGGCCTACAGCAGGTGGTAAATTAATAGGAAAACAAAGCCAGGATGTTTCTTCTTCTTCTTCTGTTTATTATGTTTATTTTAATTTTTTTGTGGAACTGGGGATTAAACTCAGGCCCATGCGCTTGCCAGGTAAGCACTTATTCCACTGAGCCATCTCCCCACCCCCCTCTTTTTTATTATTATTATTTTTTTAAATTTTATTTATTTATGTGTGTGTGTGTGGCCAGCTCAGCCCACCAGGGGGCGGGGCTGGCTGGCATGTGGTGCTGGGGGATTGAACCGTGGTCCCTGTGCTTTGCTAAGCTTGTTCTAAGTAGGTGCTTTAGACCACTGAGCCATCTCTCCAGCCCCGGTCCTATTGTTTTCTGTAGCCTTTATTTTATTTTATTTATTTTTTATAAATAAAAAATATTTATATTTGGTGGTACCAGGGATTGAACTCAGGACCCTGTGCTTGTCAGACAAACACTTATTCTACTGAGCTATCTCCCTGGCCCTGTAGCCTTTATTTTAGCTTTTAATTTTTAGTACATAATTATAGTGCATGTTTACATTGTAGTGTGGAGTTGGGACAGGTACATGACACATCCTAATCCTGGGATTGAACTCAGGACCTTGAGCTTGCCAGGCAAGTGCTTATTCTACTGAGCTATCTCCCCAGCCCCTGAGGCTGGTCTTGAACTCAGGGAGATCCTCTTGCTCCCCAGTGCAGGAATAATGGGCCTGCTCCCCCGCAGCCCCCATACACTTACTGAGTACCTGCTGGACAGCAGAGGCACCGGCTAAAGCAGAGCCCGTTCAGCAGCTCCGATTCCTGCGATGCCCATTGGTCAGGGAGGCACAAAAGACACAGGTGAACAGACCTGAGCTTTGCTTTTCAAAGTAGGAGAGCTGTGAGGTCCACAAAGCAGAGTGACGGGAAAAGAGAGGCTACCTTAGGCCTTTAGGGGTCAAGAACACGCAGGTGGAGCCCGCGGGCTGGGAAGACTGACTTCAGGAAGGTGAGCCACAGAGGCCCCGGGGTGTAAAAGACTTAGGGGAGGGCCAGGGAGATAGCTCAATGGATTAAGTGCTTGCCTGGCAAGTGCAAGGTCCTGAGTTTGAACCCTGGGGAACAAGTGCCCATCACACAAATCTCACCCGGTGATTCTGCTTGCACTCCTCTTGGGGCTCCCTAATTCCCTGGGGATCAAACCCAAGCTCCTCAGCAAGGGGCCCAGCAGGATTTAGCTGACCCTGGAACCCAAATGCCTCTCCGCCAGACCCCTGCAACCGCAACTGTAACTGTTCCTACGGGACCGCCCCGCCCCTCAACCAAGCCCCGCCCACACCCCCTTTCCATTGGACAGAATAAAAAAGATCAGACGATGATTGGCTAATATGGGCGTCCATCTGGTTCCTGGCCTTTATAATCCTTGTCCCAGAGCTTCGAGGGGGCGGGCACAGGCGCGGGCGCGGCCGGGGCTGCAGCTTCAGGTAAAGCGTCAGCTTTCGGGGATCACGTAACGGGGTTCTGAGGGGATTCGGGCGACGCGGGGAGAGGCGGGATCGGTGCAGCCAACTCGTCCACAGGCTAGGCCTGCTGCCACCAGGTGGGCACATGGTCTTGTGATACCTCTGGGACTACCAGGTGGGTGGCAAGCCAGGAGGGGACGGGGCCCTGGATGGTGGCGATCGCCTCCCTTTCCACCCTGCAGGCGCTGCCTGGGGTTATCCGCTTGCTAGCGCTCCAGCAGGCTATGGGGACCCATGGCCAGGGTGGCTCCGTGCGCCTTGAGGACCCGGCTCTTTCCTTCCCGCGCTGGGCTGGGTGCGGGATGGGGAGGCGGGGATGAGGAAACGAGTCGGGGGAGGGACGGCCGCCAGGACCCGGGGACAATGGGCAGCGGATGGGACCGCCCAGTGACGCTTCCTGGAGGAAACTGCTCTGTCTCTGCGAAGCTGACCCGCTGTGTATGTGGGGGTGCCGATCTGAGTACCCCTCTTTTCAGCCACTCTCCTCCTCCTCCTCCTCCATCCCCACCCCAGCGCTCCAAGAGTCTTCCCTCGCCCCAAGGTGAAGGGCGCCACTACCCAGGGCCTCAGACTGGGAAGGGATCCCCCAGCCCCCCGGATCACATCCCCTACCCCTCTGGTTTGGTGATCACAGCTCCACTGCCCGAAATAGTCTCAGGGGCGGGAGTGGGTGCGCGTGGTGTCGCTACTGACGACCTAATGAGGGGGTCCCAGGCAGAGCATCCGGAGCTGGTGGTGACAGCATGGAAGGGTGCGGAGGAGAGAGGAGGACAGCTACACACTCCCAACCGGGGACACAGGCAGGGCCTGACAGGTGCAAGGAGCTGGGCAGGATCCCCAGGCCGGAGCTCCCACTCCTCCTGGGAATAGAAGGGGTTCCCCGTAGCAGGTGGTGAAGAATGTACGGCCAGAGCAGAGACACTACTAAGCTGCAAATGTTCACGGTCTGCCTCAGCCCACCTGTGACCCCGGGCAGGTGGATTCACCCTCCCTAGGGCTCAGTTTCTGTACAATGGGGGAAGGGACAATGGTCACAGAAAGGCCACAGGAAGCTTCAAATGTTTTGGCAGGATCAAAAACAGTTTCTATCCAGTGTGGTAGCAAACGACTGTGATCCCAGCGCACAGGAGGCTGAGGCAGAAGGATCTTGCAAAGTGGCAGCCTGAGTTACGTGGTGCATTCAATGCCAGCCTGAACACATGAGACCCTGCCTCAAACAAAAAGTTAGTATCCATAAATTACGTGGCTTAGAAGCTGGCTTATAATAAACAACCAAAGTGCGATGGCATTTTACCATCTCGAGCTCCTGTAGGTCCAAGCACTCCAGCTGGTTTAGGTCTCAGGCATGACTGCAGCTGTCCCCTCCATTCCAGAGCCTGGACCGGGTCACCAGAGGAGCTGCCCACACTCAGTCATGCACCAGCTGTGCAGGAGGCAGGTCTAGTTCCCTCAGCCCAGGGTCAGGTTTTTTCCAAAACCCATCACTTCCTCAGCGGTTTCCTGAAAACAAGTCCTGAGCAGCACTGACTGTCCTGCCTGCGTGATGACCTGCTGCCTTGCTGGCCTGTCACTTGCAGCTGGTGCAGGGGACAGGAAACAGCTGCTTGGGAACTGGAAGGGGCCCTGCCTGGCCTTGGAGCGGGGAAGGAAGAGCCAGGGACTCAGGTTCGGCGGAGGCGGGGAGGGGAGCGGGGTCCCCCATTCACAGTGCTGGGGGTAAATCAGGCAGGCTGATGCCTGGAGCACAGGTAGGTGGTCACCAGGAATCCGAGAGGCTGGTAGGCACGGTTGGGAGGGCTGCCAGGTGGGCAGCGGGCCAGGGAGAGGATGGATTGCCTCCGGCTGGTGCCAGTGGGAGGCGAGACAGGCAAGAGGGCAGGGAGAGACGGTGGCTGGCTAGAGCTGGTCCACTGGGCAGAGCCCAGAGTGAGGGCTTTTCCCACGGGCGATGCTCTTCATTGCTCCATGCCTCAGTTTCCCTACATGTAAAATATGAATAATAATATCTAGCTTGTGGAATTGTACAGGGATTACATTTTCAGGCAGGGCACACACTAATTCAAGCTGCCCTCCACTTCCTGAAGGTTTTCCGTTGTGACCTCTCCAAAGCTCTGTCTGTCATCCCGTGGGATTTGTTTTGTTTGTTTGCGATAGGGTGTTGCTCTGTACTTCAGGCTGGACTCAGGGCTATCATCCTGCCTCAGCCTCCTGAATGTGATTTCAGGCATGCACCACCTTGCTCAGCCTTTTGCTTCATTTTATTTTATTTTGGCAGAACCAGGGATTGAACTCAGGCCCTTGCGCTTGCCAGACAAGTGCTTATTCTACTGAGCTTCCCCCCCCCCCGTTTCATTTTATTTGAGGGCACTGGGAATGGAACACAGGGCCACACGCATGCTAGCAAGTGCTCTGCCTCAGTCCAGCCACAGTCCTGTGCTCAATGAGCCCAGTTTCTCGACTCAGCGCATTCATACATTAGTCCTTAACAGCTTTGAAACTGCATTTGCTACTCAGCACGTTCTGACGTGGGAATTTTGTTCTAGTACTCATTGCTTGGTATTCAAAGGGCAAAGTAGAACTGTGTGAGCTGCCTGGGCCTCGGGACCCTTCCTGGAATAATTGCTTTGGTATTTGTCAAATTAACAAGCCAAGCCAGTTAACACATAAAACAGGTACTGCCGCATTTATCCTTGTTAAAGGTCACAGGAGGCTGGGACATGACTCACCGGTAGAGGGCTCACCTGGGCTGTCTGGGGCCCCAAATGCCACCCCAAGCCCTGGAAAAACTTCCATTACCAGATGCGGCCCAATCCCCTAACCGTCTTAGAACTTCCACGTATCCCGTGAAGTCACCCTCCCCCCACTCTGCATGGGGAGCCACAGCTTTGGTCACATAGATGCTGTAGAGGACGCCTCCTAGCACGCCACTAGGGACACGCCACAGAGGTGAGCGCTGGTGCAGTGCATCTTGGCTGCAGCCAGCGCAATCACAGTCATTAGGAAGGTCTCACTTCGTGACCTTGGTTCATATTTCAGATGTACCGCAGGGTGGGGCATCACACACCTGTGATCTCAGCCATGGGGAGGCTGAGGCAGGAGGATTGCTACCCTGAGCTACGCAATGAGACTCTGCTTAAGGAAGAAAGGAGGAAAAAGAAATTCAGCTTCACAATTATATTTTGTCTGGATTTCTCTGGAAAAATTCAAGAAATCCTATTTTTATTTTTATTTTTTTTTAATATTTATTTATTTTTTTTATTTTATTACATTTATTTATTGTGTGTGTGGCCAGCTCAGCCCACCAGGGGGCGGGTCTGGCTGGCATGTGGTGCTGGGGATCGAACCGCGGTCCCTGTGCTTTGCCAAGCTTGTTTCAAGTAGGTGCTTTAGACCACTGAGCCATCTCTCCAGCTCCCGAGAAATCCTATTTTTAAAAAAGCACAATCTTGGGCCAGGGATATAGCTTAGCGGTATATGGTGTCTGCCTGGCAAATGCAAGGTCCTGAGTTCAATTTCCAGTACCAAAAAAAAAAAAAAAAATTACAGTCTTGCCAGGCATGATGGCAAACACCTGTAATCCCAACACTCAAGAGGCTGAGGCAGGAAGATTGCCAAGAGTTTGAGGCCAGTCTGGGCTACATACCAAGACTCTGCCTAAAACACAACACAACACAACACAACAATCTTGCCAGTTTTTAATCATGAGCTACACTCCCACCCCCACCCTTATGTCTTTTTGAGACAGGCTGGTCTTGAGTTCCAATGATCCTCCTACCTCAGCCTCCGAAGTGCTGGGATTACAGGCATGTGCCACCACGCCAAGACTCTCAGATGAATTTTCAATGATCCTAGGAAGACTTTACAATTTCCTTTCTTCCTTCTTTGCTCCCTCCCTCCCTCCCTCCCCTCCCCTCCCCTCCCCTCCCCTCCCCTGTTTCCTTCCCTCTTCCTTTCTTTCTCCAGCACTGGGGGTTGAATCCAGTACCTTTATATGGAGCTTCATCCCCAGCCCTTCTAAGGCAGGGTCTTGCTAGTTGCTAAATTACCCAGGCTAGCTTTGCAGCCTTGTAAACTATGATAGCCTCAAATTCATGGCCATCTTCCTGCCTCAGCCTCCCGAGCACTGGGATTACAGGTGTTTGGCAGCATGCCTGGCAAGACTGTGCTTCCCGCCAGCTCCTGCCTCAGTGCCTTGGAGTGCCAAGATGACAGGTGTGCACCCCCACACTTGGCTTCCCTTTTCTAAAGGCTCGAGGCCCACACAATCCTCTGAGCACTGAGTTCTAATTCCACCAGGGATTCGGTAGCGATCCAGCAGCTCTGCAGGCTCTCAGCCTCCTTCCCCGGGCCTTTCTGGCATCCCGACATGACATTCCTTTAATTCAGTTTTAAGGTCTCTCCAGAAAGCAGAGCAGTGCGAGCTTGGTGGGGGGATGGGTTCATGGCTGGGTGGAGGGACAGAAGGGACCCGGTGTCATCTCTCTGGGGCCTTTTGCAGGTTGTGTATGGCAGCTACTTCAGAAAACATGGCCAAGTTTGCCCTGAATCAGAACCTGCCTGGTGAGTGTGCAAAATTGGCTATATGTGTGTACTCAGCCCCCTAGTTGATGCTGTGTGTGCGTGTGTGCGTGCGTGCACACAAAGCCCCGCATTTCCTTTAATATAGTGGCCAGGGGGCCCTTTCCAAACGTCCCTTGAAGAATGTCACCACCCCACTTTAAACACCACCTCGGACCTGTGCCCATCCTTCCAGCGCCCCTCCTCTCTGCCCTCACCCTGCTGGGAACCCCTGGCCTCCATCCCGAGTCTGCAGCTCACCTTGCCCACCCTCAGCGCAGGGGCTGCTGTCACGGTCCCATCTGCAGCTGCTTCCTTCTCACTGCGCAGGGCTGAAATTTAAGTCCCCTCTGCCCGAAAACCGCCCGTGCAGGATGTCAGAGCCAAAGTCTCGTCCCGTCCCGTGATGCTCTATTCGCTCTCCGTCCCCAATCATCATTTGGAGTGCTCGTATTTATCTGTCTGTCCCCTGAAGAGGGCAGCGACGCCTGCTTGTTCCCTGCAATGTTCCCAGGGTCTACAAAACTGCTTGGCGCTCAGCAAGCGCTCAGTAAGCGCATGGCCGCGGGAGTACCCGAGGCAGACGGGTGTTCGAGCCTCGGCACGCGAGCAGGGCCTGGCAGGGCGCCGGGTGCTAGCAACTGGCCCTTCTCTCCGGGCCTCGTTGGCCTGACCACTCCCCTGCCCGACGTGCCCGCAGATCTGGGCGGCTCTCGCCTGTGCCCCGTTCCTGTCGGGGGCTCGCCCGGCCTGAGCTCGCCCTACTCCGTGGAGACGCCCTACGGCTTCCACCTGGACCTGGACTTTCTCAAGTACGTGGAGGAGCTGGAGCGCGGCGGCGCCGGCCCCCGCCGAGCCCCGGGCCCCCCGCCCGCGCGCCGTCCCCGCGCTCCCCGCCCGAGCCTCGCAGGCGCGCGCAGCCCGGGCGCCTGGACATCCAGCGAGTCCCTGGCCAGCGACGACGGCGGAAAGTCCGGCGCGCTCTCCCCTGGGGCTCCTCTGGGGCTCCAGTTGCCACCGCTTTCGCCGCGCGCACTCGTGCGCAATGAGCGCGTCGAGAACACACTGCTGGAAACGAGCCGTCGGCTGGAGCTGGCACAAGCGCGCGAGCGCGCGCTCAGCCCTTCCCGCGCAGTGCAGTGCAGCCCGCGAGGGTCCGGCCGCAGTAGCCCCGCCCCCAGCCCCGCCCCCAGCCCCGCCCCGGTCTCTCCGGGCCCCGCGCAGCTCCAGCAGGTGCGAGAGCAGATGGCAGCGGCGCTGCGGCGCCTGCGCGAGCTCGAGGACCTGGCGCGCGCGCTGCCGGAGCTGCAGGAGCAGGTGCGGGCGCTGCGC